TTTTTTTTTTTTTTTTTTGTACCAGGGATTGAACTTGGGACCTAGTGCTTGTGAAGCAGGCAGCAGAACGAATGAGCTAAATCCCTGGCCCTTAATCATTTTGTTTTTACAAGACAGGTCATTAAGACTGAAGTTATTTGAACAAATTTTATAGGCAGTGAACCAAATTTTGTGTTCTTTTCATTAGCCCATGAATAAAAAAGTAGATTAAGGGATGGGGATTTAGTTCAGTGGCCACTGCCTTCCTCATAGGCGGCAAGGTCCCGTGTTTGATCCCTAGTACCAAAAACAAAACAAAACCAAAAACCCATAAAATGACTATTCTTTCATTACTTGAAAAAATGACAAGTGTTAGTAGTCCTTTTTAAATGATAAGTTAAGCATAGATTATTAGTTTTATTTAGTACAAATTATTGAGTGGATACATTATAAAAACTGTTATCTTGGCAATTTAAGTATCTATGATTTTCAAGCAGTAAGAAATTAGGATTATGTAAAATTTAGCTAAAGTTACTAATTTAGATGTTTAAGCTTGGCACAGCTACTCAAACTTTAACATCTAAAATAAATGCTTTAGCCGGGAGTGGTGGTGCACACCTGTAATCCCAGCACTCAGGAGGCTGAGGCAGGAGGATCGCTGTAAGTTTGAGACCAGCCTGGGCTACATAGTGAGTTCCAGGTCAGTCTCAACTATACAGTGAGACCCTGTCTCAAAAACCAAAAATAATAAATAAATAAAATAAAAGCCTTATCCCAGCTCTTGGGAGGCTGATACAGGAGTGTACCTGCACATTTGAGGCCAGCGTGTGCTACAAAGTAAGTTTGAAACCACCCTGACCTACACAGCAAGACCTTGTCTCATAAAAACAAAAACAAAACAAAGCAAACACAACAAAGCCAGGGATTTAGCTCAGTGGTTCTGCTATCTGCCCTGCAAGTGCAAGGTCCTGAGTTTGATCCTGGTACCAAAAAAACCCCAAAACACACAACAAAAAAGTCTTATAGCCTAGACGGAAAATACAGACAATGATGTTATAAAGGGTAAGACTACTTTATGTAGGATGCATATCCTGAAATAACAGCTGAAATAGAATTTTTATATTTGGGAGCCAGGCAGGGTGGGTGGTACACGACTAATGGGAGGTGGAGGCAGGACTGCAGTGAGTTCAAGGCCAGCCTGAACTAAACAGTGAGACTCTTCCATAAACAAACAAACAAACAAGTCTTTTCTTCCTGAAATAATAATAATTCAAAGCTTTAAAGAGTTTTGGTCCTAGAGTAGCACATAACATTTTTAAGATTTTTTTTTTTTTTTTTTTTTTTTTTTTTTTTGGTACCAGGGATTGAACTCAGGCCCTTGCACTTGTGAAGCAGGTGGTGGAACCACTGAGCCAAATCCTGGGCCCAAAACTTTTAAGAATTTTAAGGTTATACTGGTAAGTCACAGACTATAGTAGAATTGACAGGTCAATGAAAATAAAATATTAGAGAATATATTTTGGTCATGCTTTTAAAATGCCTATGGCCAGGGGCTAGGGATTTAGCTCAGTGGCGCCGCTGCCTGCTGCCTGCCTCGCAAGCACAAGGTCCAGAGTTTGATCTCTGGTACCAAAAAAATAAAAATAAATAAAACCAAAATAAAAAACAGAGTCATGGTCTTATGAGTCCTACATGATGTATTGTTAAACAAACAATTTCAACAATGACACTGCTTAGCAAAACAAAGCAGTATAAAACTGATAGCTTAAAATTAAATTTGAAAATAGAACTCACCTTTGCATCTATTTCTTCTGCTTTCTCATTAGCTTCTTGTTCAATGAAGGCCATCATGTGCTTAATCTACAAGAAAAATATTAGTTTTAAATAGAAGAGGGAAGAAAACATGGTATCTATCTTTTCTGATTTATTCAATAACCACCAATGAAATGCATATTATGTGCTAGTCATTGAATACAAGGATAAATGAGAGTTTCTGCCCTTGGGAAAACTTACAGTTTGGAATTTTTCAGGAAAATGGGCCAGATGCCATATTTAACAGCACAGATAAACAGCGCCATCTATCTCTCAGGATCTGGAATATTGGGGAGGCACACTCCTTCAGCAACCTCCTCCTAACTAAACACACACCTGTTATCTCAGCACTCTGGGAGGCAGAGGCCAAAGGATTCCAAGTTTGAGCCCAGCCTGGGTTGAGACCCTGTCTCAAAATAAAACTTTTAAGGACCAGGGATGTAATTTATGACATAAAGTCTTGAGTTTAATCAGCCCTGGCAAGGGGCGCCTCTCTCTCTTTGTCTCTGTCTCTCTCTCTCTTTTTTTTTTTGGTACCAGGGCTAGAACTCGGGTCCTTGCATCTGCAAGGCAGGCACTGGAAACACTGAGCTAAATCCCCGGCCCTGAGGGCCTCCTCTCTTTATTCTGTCAGCTCCCTCACCTTACACTCTCAACACACCGCCATTTGACTTCCGCTCCCTCTGCTCCACAGGAAGCGCTCTCCTAAGGTGTTCATAATCCCCCTTGCCCTGCCTCACCTGATGTGATGACCAGCTTTCTTTCTTGAATAACCTCTTCCCTTGGCTTCCATGACTTCCTCCCTTCTTCCTCTGGTCTCTTTGGGCCACACCCTCCTTTCTCTGCTCACTTCACAGCTTTTCTGGGTCTCCTCACAGTAACCCACAGCACAGTACAGTCCACAAAGGACTCTCCTCTCTCCACCCACTGTCATCTCCATGCTGGGCGTTAGTCTAACCTCAGTCTTCCCAGCCAGTCACCAGATCTGACTGGGTCTCTGTCCACAGTTCTCCATCTTCAGAGCCACTACCCTACTACACTGCCATCACCTCTCAGTTACATTATTATAACAGTGTCCAAATATCTCCCTGCCTCCAGCCCTGCTCCCTGTCTCACCTACTCTACAGTGCAACCACAGAACCTTTAAAATGCTGGGCTGGGAGTGATGGTGCACATCTGTAATCCCAGCAATTGAGGTTGAGGCAGGAGGATCACTCTGAGTGTGAGGCCAGCCTGGGCTAAATGCAAGGCTGACTTGAATTACACAGCAAGACACTGTCTCAAAAACCAAAAGGGCCAGGGATTTAGCTCAGATTTTGCTGCCTGCCTCACAAGCGCAAGGTCCCGAGTTCGATTCCTCCTACCAAAAATGAATGAATGAATAAATGAAAAAAATAAAACTGCCAGTTTCTTGTCTATCCCTTCACTCCTCTGAAAATAAACTGCAGATTTTAGAAGGTACGTGATCAGATCCCTTCTTCCTTTCCATCATCATATGAAACAGACCCTGTGCTACTCACAGTTCCTTCAGTTTGAGTTTGCCATTCTTTCTTACCTCCAAGATTCCAAAGACCCCTCTCCCATGCCTTTCCTCCCTCCTTCGTCTTCCTAACATCTCTGACCTCAGCTTGCTTAACTACCACTGCCCTCGTGAAATCTTCCTTCAACCTCTCATTAAATTCACCTAGGGCAGTTGACATTTCCACCACCACAGTGATTAAATGCCTTTCCACAACTAAATTGCCAGGCTAGGAACCTGTTAAATAGTTTTGGATCACTGGCTACAACTGGAAAATGAAGTCTACTGCAGACCTCTAAGGGAGTTTGGGCCAGGTGTGGTGGCATGAGCCTGTGACCTCACACTTGGGAGGCTGAGGCCGGAGGATCACTGCGAGTTCAAGACCAACCAGGGCTACAAAGTGATTTCAAGGTCAGCCTCAACTATTTAACAAGACTGTCTCAAAAAACAAAACAGTTACTCTTTTGGGTTCTGGGGATCAAACTCGGATTCCTTTTTTTTTTTTTCCAAAGGCACATTTTCCTTTAACAAAATTCTTAGCAGCCACACTACTCTTGTGGAACTAACACACTATGATAATCAAAATCTATTTCTCAGGTTATACAATGCTTACAACAAAAAAAATTTTTTTTTTGGTACCGGGGATTGAACTCGGGTCCTTGCACTTGCAAGACAGGCCACCAAACTGCTGAGCTAAATCCCCCACCCCACGACAAAATTTTAAGACTTGAAATACTTGGGGTAACTGACTCAGAGGTGTGGTTAGGGAAAATTACCGATCTGGTTTAAAGATTAGCCCTCGCTTTGAGGGGGTGCAAGAGGTCAGAGGAATGGTGTCTCCACTAGTTCTGCTTTTCGAAGGCAGAAAACCCACTCCGTCTGGAATTTTAAGGAAGTTTAACTAGGGCTGGGGCTGTAGTTCAGTGGCAGAGCACTCGCCTGGTAAGTGGGAGGCTGTGGCTGAAGGAGGGAGTGGGACAGTGAGTGGATCTAACTAAACAGTCATCAGAACTGCTGTTTTGTTTTGGTGTTTTTTTTGGTACCGGGGATCGAACTTGGGTCCTTGTGCTTGCAAGGCAGGTGCTGGAACCACTGAGCTAAATCCCCGGCCCCAGAACTGGTGTTTATAAATGCTACAAAACAAGACACACCTCAGCCTCTAAGGTTCTACCCCGCACTATCTGCTCCATCGCTCCTGGTGGACTCCGCACTACCAGACTTGACTTGATCAGCCCAGCCTAAAGCAAAAGGCACTCACTGTCACTCCAGAGAAGCCTATTTACAGTCAACCAGGAGTTCCAGACAAAGAGTCAACCCAACCCTTTAAAGGACATTTAACTCCACCCCCAAGGCAGAAAACTCTCACCTTAAAACAAAATTTTTTTCCTTTCTAACCCAGTAAATTAAAAAAACAACAAAAAAAAATTGTTTTCAGTCAGGTTCCTTCAAAACTTTAATACAATACATCATCTCCAGCTCCCTAAACAGAAAAGTAAACAGGCTGGGGTGTAGCTCAGTGGAAGACTGCTAACTTAGCGTGTCTGATCCTCAGCCCCACAAAATCCCAAAACCAGACAAACTCCGCCCCATGGAGTTTACATCTAGTGGGGTGGGGTACAGATAAGAAACAAGGTTTCTTCATCCCCTCCATTTTACAAGAAGTATTAATGACTTTGATCTCTAGTCTAAGTACATACACTGATTTACTTCTGCACACTCGTCCTGTGAAAGCCTTACTCTCGGGCCGGGGATTTGTCTCAGTGGTTCCGCTGCCTGCTTTGGAAGAACAAGGTCCCAAGTTTGATCCCCGATACCAAAAATAAATAAATAAATAAAAATAAAAAATAGAAAGCCTTACTCTCGGTTTAACTAGGCATGATGACAAGGAACAGGAAGAAGGGAATCAGTATGATGACCACTAAAAGGATGTGGAGGAGCCAGGCATGGTAGCGCACACCTCTAATCTCAGCACTTGGGAGGCTGAGGCAAGAGGATTGCCACGAGTTCAAGAACAACATGGACTACATAGTGAGTTCAAGGCCACCCTGAATTACAGGGCGAGAATGTCTTTAAAAAAAATGTGGACGGTACTGTACCTTGCCACTACACCAAGTGTTTCCTATGCTCAAAACGAGAAGCAGTGATAAATGTTCAAAGGCGTCATTTCCTATAAAGGTACTGTAGATTTCTTAAACTTCTCCACAGATGCATTTTTGTCATTCCTACTTCCCCTGTTACTTGCACAAATCCAAAAAGTACTAACCTCCTCATTATTCTTAGTGGATATTAGGTTAAGACTAAAATGAAATGGTATTTTTTCAAAGGAATGAAAACACTGAAAGAACATTTTATTGCTCATCTAAGATTCATAAGCCAGTGTGCTTTAGTCAGAGAATTTTCCTACTACAGTACTAGGAAAAAAGTAGGCTTAGGAATTATCCTCATTTTGTAGACAAATTGAAGTTCAGTCCCAAGTTTGAACAAAAGTAATTTGACTCCAGAATCTGTACTCTCTAGATACTGTCTCCCTGAACCTATTGTGAGAGCCGGAAGCAGGAATCAGAATAGCAAAAAGGAGTACAGTATTGAAAATAAATGAGGATTCCGCTGGGAAATACGTGTTATCTGTATAGTGGAGTTCTCTAACCCTTGCAGTTATAAAATTGCAGCCTTAAGCTTTCCTCTCTGGGAAAACTATTGGCAACGTGATTGTGGTTTCAGGATATCAATTAGCAAAACAAGTGAAAACCACTTTTTCTCTTCTCATAGATCTGTCAAGAGCACTATAGCTCCCCGCCCCAAGGTTTTTGTGTTGTAATATTCCTTTTTTGAGAGGGTGGGGGAGGTCTAGCCAAATAGTCTAGGCCGGCCTCAACTCCTAGAAGAGCGATCCTTCTGCCTCTGCCTTCTGGGATTACAGGCTCGCCATCATGTTCCTACTGCCTACAAGCTCGAAGGTATGACACACTTTCAAACACTGAACAAGTTAACCCAGGTCTGATTATACACTTTCAAAATCTACGTTATTTCACGGCTTGCATAACAATTTTTTCCATAGCCTCTGACTCACCTACTTCGTGTCAAACACTGGTAGGTGCTCGGCTTATAAACGTAAGAAGGGTTTTTGCATTAGACAAATATTAATGTACAGACTAGATTCACTAGCTTATCATAGAGAAGACTCTCCCATGATGAAGATTGACGGTTCACAAAATCAGTGACCTCGGAACAACGCTGGAAACTACGCTTTAACAGAACGGTTTCTTCCCTCTCTTACACCGTGAGCCCTTCCTTCGGGGCTGAAATGCTAAGGGACAGGACTGTTTTAGATTTTCGTGCAGATCCCTGCCAGATTAAGCACAATGAGCACCCGGGAAAACGGGGACCGCTGAGGCGGGACGCGCGCCGGACCGGAGACCCGGGTGACGGACTCGGCAGGACTCCGGACGCCAGCCCACCCCTTCGCGACATCCAACCCAGCTCCTCACCTGCTTCTGTACGTCAGCATCGCTGAGGGCCATGGCGAAAACGACACCTCACCGGCAGGCAACTGGCTTTAGCTTAGTTTTGTACGGGGAAGTAACTAGAAGCTGAAGAAAACTCAGCGCAGGTTTCTCCTTCCTTTACTTTATAACCAAGGGTTCCGGTTCCTGACAAGTGACCATGCCCAGCCAATAGGAAAAGAAAAGGGCCGGGAAGTCCCGGCCTTGCCCCGCCCTTCCCTAGCTGGACGCAGGCGCAGGGAGCTCTCCCATAATCCATTCACGATACATCTCGTGACTTGTTTTTTTTTTTTTCCTTTCTTTTTCTTTTTTGAGACAGATTCACCATAGGTTGGCCTCCAGTTTGCCACCGCGCCCCGCTCTTGACTTGTTCTGGTGAAGAATTCCTGTATCATTTTTTCCCCCTCTTAACCCAAAAATTTTATTTTTCACAGTTCCGGAGGCCAGACGCCAAAACCAGCTGATTAGTTCCTGGGGAAGGTTGTCTTCCTGGCTTTTGTTTTGTTTTGGTTTTGATTTTTACATTTTTAATTTTTATGTGTAAACGTTTGCAGTACATATTGATTGCATTCATCATGCAGAGTTGGTAAATGTAATATAAGACTTTTTAATTCTTTTTACCCTTCCCGTCCCCCCCCACCCCGCACCACCATCTGTTGGTCCTGCATCTAAATTAATCAGTACATTTTGTATTTCTTCAGTCTTACAACCCTTGCATATTTTAAAAGTTTAAATACTTAAAGTTTATATCAAACTAGATTTTATTAAAATCTTACTTTCTTAGCTTTAATGGAAACAAACTCATTAATATTAATCACTTTTTGTTAATAAAATTTGTGGCAACCCTGGAGTTGAATTGGACACCTGCACTGAGCGCCAAAAGGCCAAACCAATGTAGGATTTAATCGCATTAACTAATTTTTGGTTGGTTAAGGAGGCTCTGTTGCACCTGTTGACTAAGCTATAGCCAATTGTTTTCTATGGCTCACATCCCTTTTTCTTTTTTTCTTTGGTACCTGGGATCGAACTCAAGTCCTTGTGCTTGCAAGCTGAGCTAAATCCCCCATCACTTCCCTTTTTCTACAAATGCTGTCTGATCCTATTGTTGGTCGGAGTTCTCAGAATCCGCTCTGGAAGAGACCTGATTTTCAAGTGGGTTTTTTTTTTTTTTGACTGGGTACCGGGGATTGAACTTGGGTCCTTGCGCTTGCAAGGCAGGCCACCGAACCACTGAGCTAAATCCCCGGCCCTCAAGTGGTTTTTATTTTTCTCAAACTACTAATTTTAATTGACCCAAGAAGCTTCCACCTCCTTTTTTTCCCTCCCAATTCTGCAGATGGAACTCAGAGCCTTGTTCATGCTAGGCAAGCACTCTACCACTACACCACATTCCCAGCCCAGAAAATTTCACTTTAGCAATATTAATGGATTTTTATGTCAGCTTTAGATTTACAGAAACATTGAGCATATATAGATATATTGAGTAAGTGTAGATATATTAACTAAAGTCCATAGCTTATTCAGATTTCTTTAGTTTTAACTTACTGCTCTTTATATGTTCCTGTAAGAAATACAAATATTTTAATTGGTCCATATTTCTTTGTTGTTATTCTCTTTGGGAATGAATTTTTTGTTGTTGTTGTTCACATTTCTTCAGCCACTCTAATGGCCTTATTCACAGAATTACCTGGGTCAAAGCGGAGGGACAGGCAAGCTGTAAAAAGACACCAGAGATAAGGTACTGAGGTAAGAGATAATTACTAAACAAGTTTTCCTGAATTTCTTCCCGAGAAGTCAAAAGGCCATAAGTAACTAAAAAAGCAATGTAGAGGGAGGAAGGGGCAAAAAGAGAAAAGGAAGTAGGGAAATAACGGGCGGGCGGAGCTAGATTGCTGGACCGCAGGCCCCAGAGTTGGAGGAGGGTTTCCGCGCGTGTGGGACAGATGCGCTTAGCTTCTCCCGTCTGGGGCGCCTGTCTGCGCGGGCGCCCCTCGCGGGGGTACGGAGTAAAACTTCGCCTCTGCTGCAGCTGGAGTCCAGATGTTTGGGGTTTGGAGACAGGTTCATTTCTCACAATTCAGGCTCCCATCCAGGCTACCAGATTAAGTTTAGTTGCCGTAAGTTTTAGGCTCCTTTTGGCTGCTGCTGTTTCTCACTTTGTTTTTAAGTAACTTGATAGTTTTGCGTACTGGTTAGTATAATACAGGATGTGACTATTGGAATTTTTCTCATGATTAGGGGTTGAGTTTCAAATCAAGGTCCCATGCTATACTTTGTTTTTCTTGGCTATCCTAGGGGTTGAAGCAAAAGGTTTGAGCGTTCTAAGCGAATTGTTTTCCACTGAGCTATATTTTAAATTTTTTATTTTGAGACAAGGCCTCACTAATTTACACTGTCTGGCCTAGAACAAGTGATCCTTCTGCCTTAGCCTCCTGATAGCTGGGATTACGGGAACACCACTGAGCCTGGCTGACATTTTTGAAGGATATAGGCCAGTTGTAGAAAACCCCTCAATTTGATTTTGCTTGATAGTATCATAATAATTAGAATTAAGGTATGTGTTGGGGTGGGTACATTACACATGTGATATTGCTGTGTTTGTGTGTGTGTGTGTGTGTGTGTGTGTGTATGTGTGTGTGTTACTAGGGATTGGATTTAGGACCTTCATAGTGAGCTACATCCCCAGCTTATTTATTTTTTATTTTTTCCTCAGCTTTTTTTAAAGTTTCATTTTGATCCAAGATGTTGCTAAATCACTAAATTGCCTAGACTGGATTTGACCTTGTGATATTCCTCCCTTGGTGATGGATTACAGGTATGTGCCACCATACCCGGTGCTCACTGTCCCTGGAATGAAAATTATACACATACGTTTAAAGTTTGCGATATATGCTGCCAAGGGATTTTCCAGCTATACTACTCTACAGTGTTCCTTGTAGTATATGGCAAGTTGGTACAGACTTTTTAGTTTTTATTTATTTATTTGATTTTATTAAGACAGACTCTTGCTATGTAGTTCAAGCTGGCCTTGAATGCATAAGGATTGTCCTGCCTCAGCCTCCCGAGTGCTGGGATTACAAGCATGCACCATATGCCTGGCTAATAAAGTTTTTTTAGCCTCCATTCATTTATCTATTTATCTACCTGTTATTTGGGGGGCCCTAAAGGGTGGTACACATATTTGAGAAGACTGGTAATGTTTAGTGGGTTTGTTTTATTGTTGTTGTTTTTTTTTTTGAGATGGTCTCACTTTGTATTGCAGGCTGGCCTTGAACTCAGACTGGCAATCTTTTGATAAGGAAAGGATTTCACAACAGAACAATAAAAAGAGCAGCACAACAGAAATCCATGTCATTGAATTTAACATAACCAGTATTTTATCAACTGAACTAAAAGCAGATGACAGGCTTGTCTCCTTTTGTTAGTTTTTGCACTAGTAGCTTCTTTCCTCACCATCTCAGAAGACAGATTTTCAGAATTCTGCCTTCCTCTGTACATCCCCAGTCCAGGATAAGGCAGCATTAACTCATTTCGATTGCAATTCCTCCTCCTGTTTATTTTTATGATATTCTGCAAATGATTGGATTTAGAAGTGGGAGTAGTAATCTAATGCCACAATATCAAATAGTTTATAAAATTGATGCCTTAAATAGCTGTAGCATTGTCCAACTGTGCCTTTCCTTGGGGAGTACTGAGGATCGAACTTGGGTTCTTGCACTTGCAAGACAGGTGGCACCACTGAGCTAAATCCCTGGCCTTATGGCTTTGTTATTTATTTATTTATTTTGTGCCTTTGGTTTTTTTTTGTTGTTTTTCTTTTCTCCTTTGGTTTTTTTATTTTTTGGTTTGGTTTTTTTGGGTTTTTGAGACAGGGTCTCACTATGTAGTTGAGACTGACCTGGAACTCACTATGTAGCCCCGGCTGGTCTCGAACTCACACAGTAATCCTCCTGCCTCAGCCTCCCAAGTGCTGGGATTACAGGCATGAGCCACTATGCCTGGCTCCATGCCTTTGTTTTTTAAAGAAGAGCAGGGTGAACACTTGGTGTGGTGGTGCACTTGTATAGTCCCAGCACTCAGGAAGGATGGGGCAGATTGAATGCTGTCAGTTTGAGGCCAGAATACATAATGAATGAGTCCCTGTCTCAAAAACAAAAAAACGAAACAACAAAACAGTGTGATGCCCTATTACTTTGAAACATTAGAAAATACCAAAACGTACAAAGACCAATTCAAATATTCATCTGCTATGAGCCATCACCCCAACATGACATGTTTATTACCACAAGGCTTCAATTTGTTTGTTTGTTTAGAGAGGGGCTCTTGCTATGTTGTCCAGGTTGGCCCTGTATTCTTGAGCACAAGTGAAGCTCCTGCCTCAGCCTACCCAGGTATCTCAGACTGTAGGCACTTGGTACCATATCCAGTGACACTTTGTTTTAAAGACTAATTGTGGAGCCAGGGATTTAACTCAGTGGCACTGCACTTTGCCTCAAAAGTGCAAGGTCCCAAATTCGATCCTCAGTACCAAAAACAAAACAAAAAAACTAATTGTGGGCTGGGCTGGGGATGTAACTCAATGGTAGTGCATTTGCTTAGCATTCATGAGGCCTCTATGTTTAGTCCCCAGCTCTTTGCCTCACCCAAATCTGGATTGCTGTGTTCCAGATATGACTGGGCAGCTTCCTCCTCCCGTGTTGTGCTGATTCACCAGGGAGCAGGCCAGGTCCTGCCTGATAAGAATATGGTAAGGGGCCGGGGATTTAGCCCAGTGGTCCGCTGCCTGCCTTGTAAACACAAGGACCTGAGTTCAATCCCCAGTACCAAAAAAAAAAAAAAGGTAAATTCTACAGGCACAATCTCTGAATGAAAATTTTTTTATGACTATACTTATCTCTTAATACCTTTTCCAGGATTCCTCGCTGTCTTAGTTATTTTTCTCACATTGCTGAGACAAAATACCTGACACCCAAACTAAGGGGGGAAGGGTTTATGTAGCTCACAGTCTCTAGAGATCCCAGTCTATAATCAGCTGTCTCCAAGGCAGAGAGACACATGGCAGAGGGGAGTCTGCAGAAGAGAGACAGTTCTTGTTAGCTAGAAGATAGCAAAGCAACAAGGAACCTTAACAGTGTCTTCCTGCCCCTCTTATCT